TCGATCAATATTTGCTTATTTTTGTATAAATAACATACGAGATTAAATTCAAATTTATTTCATCTATTTAGATAACATGTATGAATGTCTACAAAAATAGAGTTTGTTCCATTATTCCATGAAATTTATGAGTATCAATGATATCTATTTCGATAATGAATGATATTCAACGTCGACAACCAAGAGCTCATAATGATATAATACTATTTTTTATGATTTATGCATATAGATAAGACAAACAATGGAAGAGATTCATCTGTAGATGGATGAATTGAAATAAAAAATTGATAGTTAAATAATCCTATCGAACTAGTTTTACTCTAAAACTTGAATAAATCATGATGTTTCAATGATCATCACCTTGAAATATTTATGTAATTCAAGCCAATGCAGCATCGAATGTTATTGGACCAAACATGAAATATTTATGGAGTGAATTGAGTGATGAAAATTTTTATGATTTCACAAGAATGACTTGTCATGTAAGTCATACATAACAACAATATGAATATATTTGAGATGCATCTCAATAATTAAAAATAAAAAAATAACAATGATATGTTTTGATTAAAGAAAAAATAAAAAATTTCATTTTGAGTAATTGAAAATCAAGAAAGTTTTTAATTTAAAATAATCGATAGTTAGAGAAGAAATCGGTGAACCAAGATTTTGTTTTTTTTCTTTTTTAATAAGTAAAATACCGAATGATAAATCTATCAATTAGAAGTTTGACACTTCCATATCATCTAACTGAGCTAGTATCAATCACCCAAATTTTTTCCTTCGATTAGCTTGCATGACCTACAATTGAGCTCGCGCAAAAAGACCCAATCATCAATTGTTTGACTTTAGAGAACTATTTGCAAAGGTTCGCTTTTAGATCATGCAGGTTTTATTATCGTTTAAAAAATTGTTTTTGCATGAAAAAATTCTTTTTTTGGTATAAGCTTATTTCTCTGAAACAAAAACGATCATGACATGAATCTTGTTGAAATTTTCATGGATTTCGCTTTTGATTTATCATTGTAAATATAATTCTGATCATGAAATGTATTCTGAAACGAGTGTTCAAAATTATTGAATCATTTTTCAGGAAATTGATGTTGATTTTGTTTAGTCATATCTATGATATACAATTAACACATATTGGTCAAAATAGTTTCATGCTTATTATTACATCAGAAGTAAAATTAATTTATTATATTCGATATATTAATGCAAGAAAGATAAATATTATAGAAAAACAATGCTGATTAAGATTTGTATCTTTTAATTAATTTTAAATTATGTATAAATTTTGAGATTATACTAAACTAACTCTTCGAATTGAAGATATGCATATTCACTCCAGTTAATCAGTCAAAATGATCCAGTTTTTGTGACATGGGAATTTATAGTATTTCTAGGAAATACAGATTGAATCTGTTCTCAGGTCGTATAAAACACGTCGACTCCTCACAGTTTCCTCAGATTCTTGTGCTCTGTACAATAGAATTGTTAAAGAATAGTTTGAAGAATGTTTTTGGAGACATGAAAACTACCGTATCAACTGACATTGCTTGAAACATGATGAATCAATATAATATCAAAATATGTCTTGTATTTTCAATACATGTGCGTGAATACTAACTACCTTCACTATTATGGTTATTGGAAACGTATAAGCTTTAAAAAGAAATATATTTCTTTAGTTGATGGTGAGGTTTTTTGTAGAATTTTTGGGATAATTTCATTGTCTTTTTGATATAAATTAATATCGAACACATAAAAAAGCATCGAGAATTTTTCCTTTGATTTCTTTGCTCATTTGTTCATTAAATTATACTAGGTAGGTATTCTATTTATTGAATTCAAATCTCGATATATTCTGCATATAACATTTAGATACTTTTCGAACTTAACACGTTTCTCGACGATTTAATCGACATCTATTAATTTATCATTATTTTCAATGAATAGACATCAGTATTAATTGAACAATATTCTCTACTGATTTATGTTACTATTCATTCTGTAATATGACACATTTTCTTTCTCATAAAGTAAACAATGCTACAATATTATTCATGTATTTAACCTTATGATGTGTTTCTTTATTAACAAAATAAATATTTTGACACTTATGGCACTATTATTGTACAATGTCAACAAATCTTTGAAAAAACTCGAATAACTTATTCAAGAAGATCAGATTGATGTGGCTAAAATGGAAATTGAAGTTGAACAAAAAGAAAAAGAAATTATGCTTGACTATTGTACTTGTCTTAACAATGAAACATTACCACTTCGTCGATAGCTCGCTAAATTTCCTCGTATTACAATGAAAAATATCGTTTAGTACACACCTAATCGTGATATCAATAATACTATATTTACTCTACCATTTGATATCAATAGTGGAGACTTACGTTCATGACTTGTCGATTGGCGACCTTTTGATCTTGTCGTACCGAACAATAGTTATGTTTGGGAACCTATCACTAGTGTTATCGGTGACAACTGTAAAACAAAAAAAAAAGAAATGATGAGATGTGCTATATTAGACAAATCTGAAACTGGATACATCGTTGACAACATTTAGAAAAAGATTTTTTGACTAAACTTAATTTTACTGTTGAAGACACAATAAATGCTTGTAAACAATGATGGAAATATGAGATAAGGCGTAAAGAAACAGAAGCTGATTTGTTACCCTATCGAGATTTTGCAGAGCATATGGCAAAATATACTGTAGATTTCGAAAAATTTTACCAAGCACAACAATTTCATTTATGATTAAAAACTATGTATTTTTTTGTCATGTGAATAGATTGATTCACCAATAGATTATAAATAGAGTTCGAGCAACATTTTTTAAACATTTATCTGCTGTTAAAACTACATTTTTTACAACTAGATCGCATTAACCTTTTTAGATGATACTATCATATAATTACTTAGCCTAGAATAAACCGTCTGTTCACTATGACTAGATTAAAAGATATAATATTCTCATTCGGCATTGTAATTACTTATTTCATACTATCTATTTAAGGAATGAGAACTTTGTTGTATGATGACACAACATCATGGAAAAACGAAAATTACAGCTTCAAGATAAATACTTGTCAAATATCAAGCCCTATTAGATCAGAAGGCTTATTAATAGCAATGTAATTTCATATATAAGGACTGTATCTCTCAATAATATAATTCGTAATAGAACACTTTTCTCTCTAAATATATCTGTTTTTCAATATGCCAATAATATCTAATACTTGCACAACAACTATGATCAGATCTTGATGAGTGTTATTATATAATGGATCGATTAACAAGAGAGTAAACTTACTGACATTCTATAAAGTATTATTCAAATCATTGTCTGACTTGTCTTCATACATGTACATATGATGATACAATACTCGAACTTAAAGATAAATTGTTTTGAACAACGTTTATTAAAACTTTTCTTCATTCACTCTTAAAATATTCTGGCTCAATTTTCTAAAATAAAAAAGGTTTTCACATTTTTGAAATAAATTCTTGATCGTTACAATTTAAAATGATTACGAATGGTTTTTTTAGAGAAGCTTTTTTTTATTCTAGAACATCTCCAATTGAGCACATTCAACAGGTATTTCTCATTTTTTGTTTGACTTTTTCGAGACTCCATAAAGATTTCTTCAACGTTCAGGGGTTTCTGGAGAATTCTTATGAGGAAAAGTGATCTCTAGGTTACATTTTTCTCAAGAAGGATTTTTGATAAGCTCTATATACTCGTACATAGATTTTTTATAGACGAAAATGAGAAAGTCACTCACTCTATGTCCAACATCCAATCTAAAATTTGAACATGATCTGAGCTAGACAATATTCTTTTTCAATACAACGAGGTAATTTGATTGAGCTTACGAAACTAAAAGAATGCATTTTGTTTTCAGAAGCAGAAGCCACGCGTCCTTCACGCTTTCATAACCTGTACCACTGAAAACTGAATTTTGAATTTATAAACAAACATTTCAAGACCTCGAGAACGACAGAGAATATGTTCTTTTCTTTCTAGGAATGATATTGCATTATCTACAACATGCTCATCAGTTTGAAGAATTCATTAGGAGGTACTTATGTAGAGAACGTCAAAGAAAGCCTTTCAGATGCAGTGTATACTCCTCTTGCTTATGAATGTGTTCGTCCAACTTCAGAATACGTTATTTGTGGTAAAGATAGCTTTCCGTGTTTCGATGAAGGCGTTCTTTGTGGAGAGTATTTTTTACTGGGTATAGGAGATCAAACAATGGGTACATTGTTTTGAATATTTTAATTGTTGAACTCACGGGAAATTGAAATTACTTTGTAAAAAAAACAACCTGGCGTAATCGATAATTAAACAAGCTATTAAATTTTGGCTTCAATCTCTGCTAGCTGCTTAATTACCTCAGTCTATTGTTACGGTCACCATTCGTTACCGTAAACGGTTGCTTATACACCATATTCTATGGTGACTGGGATAGTGTAGATTTTTTCCTTGTTTGAAACTACATTCAATGTCGTTGTTCTTGATCATTCTATTACAATTTTCGATGGAACAAAACGGTGTATACGATAGAACGAAATCCATATATGCTGCCTATATGTTACAAAACAATCGCTTTTCAAAAACTTAAGTTCATTTTATATTTTACTCTCTTCTTTCCTTCTAATATCATTGATTATCACTTGCTACTACGATTATTCAACAAGAATAACAGCAAGAGGGCGCTAGTTTCCAATTAAATATATATATACTATTCTAAAATATATTCCATTGGTGTACACGTCAATTGTAGTTCACCTCATTCTAATTGGCATATCCTCCATTCTCTCAATCTCCTATCATCCAGTTTCCATTCAAAGAGAATTTTGAAGTAGACTATCCAATCAAGTTCTTCTTGATATATTTATCAATCAAAAAATATCGTTCATTGTTTTTAATTGAGAACAGTGATAAAATTATTTGTTTATTCAATCTTTTATTTTCTATGGCTTCAACAACAACTGATGATCCTGCGACATCATCATCATCATCAAGTTTTGAAAAACGTCTTACACTTGTTAATAGTACTCAAGAAAGTGTTCAAACATTATCATTATGGATTTTATATCATCGTTCTCAATATGAACATTTAATCAAAACATGGTTTAAAGTTTTAAAAAAATCAAAACCATTACATCGTTTAACATTATTTTATGTTGCTAATGATGTTATACAAAATGCTAAAAAACATAATGCATTAGTTTACCAACAAGCATTTAAACCTTTTCTAAATTCTTCAATGATTTATGTTAAAGAAAATGCAATTAAAAAAAAAGTTCAACGTATACTTGAAATATGGCGTGAACGTGGTGTTTATGATGAAGATTTTATTGATGAATTGTTAAAAAAATTAGTTGGTACTGAAGTTTATGAAAAAGATAAAGAAGTAACTCGTGTTATTTCTGAATTTCAAGTAAAAATTAAGAATTGATTTTTTTTTACTATATAAAACAAAGAAAAAACTTTTTTTTTTAATTTGTTTAGCCAAAATCATTATGTGAATCATTGATACGTTTTAAACAACTTGAAGGTGAAACACTTGTTAAAGAACAAATGATAAATAATGATTTAAAACTTATTGATGGAATGTCAATTGAAAATGTTCGAAAACTGAAAGGTAAGAAAAAGAAACGTTGATGCATGCATTTGAAAAACAAAATATTCTTTTTATATTTAAGATAAAACATCAACTGATGCATATTATATTGAATATGAAAATAGTCGAGAAAAATTTCAAGAATATGTTCGATATTTTGAACGTCTTTTAGAAGAACGTAAAACAATTAAACAACATTGTAAACAAGCTGAAATTTTTTATGATGCACAATATCAAGATGCTAATATTGTTGTTGAAGTTTGTATTATTATTAGTTTAGGTTTTCGTCAATAATATATATATGTCTTTCTCGATTTATTATTTATCAATAGGCATACAAAAATTTTGGTGATAAAGTAGCAACATTAAAAAAAAAACTTGATAGTTTAATAAGAGATTTACCTGAAACTGTATCACCACCATCCGCAGATAATGTGCCATCACCAGGTAAGAATAAAATTATCTGTTTTTATTTTGTTCTTTATGTATTTATGAATATTACATTTATTCAATTGTATCTAATATTCGAATTTCATATAATCTTTAATTAAATACATCATATTATTTATCATTGCATTGTCTTTGTAAGATATGATTAAAGCTATAGCAAAATTAATGACACTGCGTGTCTGAACTTGCGTTCTTTTCCCCATCGATATCTGGCAGTTTTTTGTGTACATGAACAAATGAAGAATCAAGACTTTAGCTGTTCATTAGAAAATAAAAGCCAATGTAGTATTTTCTTGTTGTTTACATTTTCGTTACTCGACACTTGATAAATTAAAAATTTTCGTTTAGCTGAAAAGAGCATCATGTTAACAAAACAGTTAATTTAGGATATTAGTAAGATACTCTCTCACCCACTCTGATCGTCATTTCATTCAAAGATAGTATCGATGTATAGAGCATAAAATTCTCCATTCATGAGACCCACTCTGATCCATTCTCTTCAATCAATCTTAGACAAAAGAATCAAATATCATTTTTATGAGTCCACTCTCACCCAGATCTTAACAAGAGGGTGTGAGTGTGGGTGCGAAGCGGGTTTGGACTTTGTGTGGGGTCTGGATATGGGTGTGAGCGTGGGATGTGTATAAGATGTGACGGTGAGTGTTGGTATGGATGGAGAGAAGATCCACATCCACACAGGCATACGCACTTCGATTTCCATGTCCTGTTCATACCCACGGCTAAACCCATACTCACAACCACTACACATATACCCAACACCTAAACCCAAACCCAATCTGACAATCACACTCATATCCAATCTCATAGGATATAGGTGTGGGTGCTAGTCTAGCAGTGAGCAGAACGTGGAAATGGGAGTGCGTATGCCTGTGTGGATGTGTGTCTTCTCTCCATCCACATCCACACTCACCGTCGCACCTTATCCACATCCCACGTTCACATCTATACCTAGACTCCACACAAATTACAAACCCGGTCCGCACCCACTCACACCCAGATTTCCACCCACATCCACATTCACACCCTCTTGTTAAGATCTGGGTCAGAACGGATGAGAGTGGGTGATAGTGGACTTATAAAAATGATATTTAATTCTTTTCTCTAAGATTGATTGAAGAGAATGGGGTCTCATGGATGCTCTATACATCGATACTATCTTCGAATGAAACGGTGGTCAGAGTGGGTGAGAGCGTATTTTACTAATACCCGTTAATTTATAATCGAAATTCGTCAAACCAACAGTAATGCCGAAATCTTCAGCTGTAATAGAATAGTTTTAGTTGTATTTATGTAAATGAGATCAAGCAAGTAGAGAGCTGCGTGTTCACATTTTTGTAGACCTAGGATGCGCAACTCTCTAACACTCAAGTTGACTTGTATTATGAACAATTAAGATTCGTCTCATAGATTTTTGAAGATTGTTACAAGAGAAAACAATTCACGTCTATATATTGCCTAGCGGACAGTATAATTCTATATAGATGGCTTGAGAAAAATATCTCTTGATAAATATTGATGTACCGAAAGATGTTCTATATTTCATTATTCTTTTAGTGACGTATGAGATAAGTTTACACTAACCATTCTTCAATTGTGGTTGCACATCGTCTTTGATTTGTTTTCAGTCCTCACAAAATCATTTAGATTATCTTCATTGAGAAGTTAAGCTAACTTATTCATCAAAAACAGTGCATAGCTTTCTACAAATAACTTGTACACGAAAATTGTATTATTATAATATGAATATTATTACTTTTAGGATATTTTATGTATCGTGAGAAATTTAACTACTTGACTTATAAATTGTGAAACATATTTATGGGTTAGAATTTTGTGACGAAGATGTATTCATTATTTGTCTTTCTTTGACTACATAATTAAAATTTTTTTTTCTTATCATGCAATGTAGGGACTTCCACTGTATCCTATAATCTTATCTTACCGGAAGTTGTCTAAGAGCTTTGTCTTTATATTTTTCTTATTAATTATAAAATGTGCAACAATTTTTTCTTCTATTTCAAACAAAAAATGCTTTAATATTATCATTATTTTACAAAAAAAGTTAGATTCTGAATCCAGACTCAAGAATTACGAAAAATAAATTCAAATAAAATAAAACTTTTGTTTCTAATTAAGATTTTCAGGAAATAAATGGCACATTATTTTTCTATATTGTATCATACACACAGTATTCAATTAAATAATAATAATTCTCATGTGATTCACACTGAACAAAAAAAAACAGATTTGATATAATCTGTGCTATATATCTGTTAGTTCTTCTTTGACTAGACATCTACTACACAGTATACAGACAGTGGCACAATATGAAATATTTGTATATATCTGTAATAATTTTAATTTTTTTATTATATAGGAAATACTCCTCCTGATTATCGTCAAACTGATATGGATTTATCTGATAATGAAGAAAATAATTGTAAGTATTGTATAATTTTATATGAAAATAAAAATTTAATATTTTGTATCATAGCAAAATCTCCATCAGATCGCACCGCAAGTAAATAGAGTTTTTTTTTCTTCTTTGGAAATAGTAATTATAATATTTTTTTATTTATTTTGAAATAGTTGTACGAACAACACGTGCTGATCCTCGTCATCATCGTAAACATGTTCATCATCGTCATCAATCATCTCAACAATATTTTGATGATGCTGATGAACGATCAAATAAAGATAATTCAAATTTATCACCATTAGTTAATGGTGAAAATAACACAACATTACAAGTAAATTTTAATTGTTATTAAACAACGAAAATTTTATTTAATGTTATTTTAGCAAACACCAATGATTGATGTTAATTTAATAACTGATTTACTGATACAACATTCACAATCAACCGGTTTTGAAAAAAGTCTTGAAATGCTTACACAAACATTACGGCAACTTACAGATCCAAATGCAATACCACCGACGACAACAACAACAACAACAACAACAACAGCAACTTCTTCACAACCATCTAATCAACTTCCTCGAACAAATCCGTTTGAAAATCTACTTATGAAACGGCTTCAACCATCAATTCCTCAAACAGTTCTACCACCACCACCGCCCGTTTCATCACAAGTTTGGTTTAATTCAACAACTCCTCAAACATTTTCATCGTCGGTTCCACCATTTTTTCCTCTTTCTGGTCAGCAACCACCGAATGTACCTATGGATTTTCATTCTCTACAACAATATCAAAATCAACGAAACTAAATAGCAAATTAGTTGACATTCATCTATTTGTTTGTTTGTCTGTTTGTTTGCTTTTTCCTATTTTTGTCTGCACTATGCATATATGTGTACATATATTAAATAAAAGAAAAACAAAGATAAGTGAAATATTCCTTTAATATAATAATCACTATTGATTCGCATATTCAAAATAGTCTGAAAAAAAAATCTCAATTTTAAACTACTTCAAAATTTATATTTAACATAGAAATCTGTTCAATATGTAAGTTGTTATTGATTTGAACGAAGACAAGTAGATATACGGAGAGTCTATCTCATAACGATGCTTATTCATATTGATTATTTATTAAAAAAACAAGAACAATGTTGAAATTTTGTGCGAAATAAGAACAAGCAGTGTTTATAACTGTCATGTCACGTTTGCAATAATTGACAAAAGAGAATGAGCACATATGTTAAGATCATGAATGACATATAAAGAACGAGCCACTTTCTTTTCTCTCTCGTTGAAGGACTTAGAATGCTCTTAGCAAAAAATATATTACAGAAAAAAATATATCGAAAATTTTCTTTTCTAGAAAAATAGAAATTATCTGAGCGAAGTTAGAATCGTATTTTCATCTGTAAAAATAGGAATAAAAAAGAACTAGAAAAAGAAATCGATATTATTTGCAAATTAAAAACAAAATCAATCAGACTGTCTTCATTCTTCTAAATTAATTCACGCATAAACAACTTCGAATCTATACAAGAAATTCATCATAGATAGGTACAGTATATCTTTTATCAGTTAATATGATGACAATAACTGGTCAATAGGGTAAGCATTCTTTTTATTTGAGAAGAATATTGTATGAATAACAACATCATATTTGATGAAAAACATGTCAAAAGAATAGTACTGAGAATCATAGTCGAATATAAAGTAAGATGATTTATTATGTTATAGATGAGTAAGAGAAAAAATCGGTTAGGAAAAGAATGTATATAAAAATCTGATGTTTTCAATACAACATTAAGTAAGAGTGAATCAAAGGGAAATAGTAATGCATCAAGTTCTTTTCGTGTCATTTGTTTTTATAAAATGATACAACGACTGGTCTGTCTTAAAATGCTTTTTTCTACGAACGTCATAAGACATTTGTCAATGAGAAATTCAATTTATTCTGTTTTAGTTTTCTACGCTTACAGCAGTAAAGAGTCTAAAGATGGTAAAAGACGTAATAGTACTTATGTCTTAGTAACTTGATAAACAATAAAATGAATTGTAATAAATTTAATTCCTCATAGATCATTCTTATGAAAATTTCAAAAAGACAATTTAAAATTAACTTATTCTTCATGCATCATCTGTTCTAACAGTTTTTGAAAAAGAGCTTACAAATGAGATAATCTTTGTACTGTCACTTCCTAATAAATTCTTCCAAATTTTTCTAATACATACAAGTAACAATCCAGAAGGATAGAAGGAATCTAGTCAATGTTGTAATCGACAAGCACGAATAAGATTTGATTAATTGATCTATTCATGCCTTTGACTGAGCATTTATATTTCATTTAAAAATAAAATTTATCATAAAACTTTCGACCAATTAGAAGATCAAGAATCGTCTATTTTGTCTTATCGTTCATAAGTCTCAAGAAGGAAGTCTTCTATTAGGTCCCAAAAAAAGTGAGTGTTTTTGATTGTCTTGCCAATAATTCTTGATCTCAATTCAGTTTTATGCGATACATCATTAATAAACGAGTTTATTTTATTTATCTCATATGTGTAAGATGAAAAAGAGTGAAGAAAGACCTAAAAAAAAAATACTAGTCTTTTTTGTAGAACTTATTTAAGTCAATCATGTATGTTGAAGTTTGAATAGTATAGGTGGAGTTCGTTTAAGTGGAATGGACCATGAACATATTTATTAGTCTTAAGCTAATTGCAATGAGTACGGTTGTTCGCGAAGAAATACTCAAAATAACAGCAGCTGAGTACATATTCAGTCTTTTTTTTGAGTCTAGTTCAAAAAATACCTTTAAATCTCTCATACAAAAAGGAAAACGTTTTTACGATCAGAATAAATACCAAATAATGCAAATCTCGACATGTATACCTAAAAGTATGTTTTCTTCAATTATGAATGCGCCGTTTGGTATAAAAATATTTGTGAATTTCTCGAAGGAAGTGCAAAAAAAAGAACAGATCTTTTCATTAATACACAACAGGGTTTTACTAAATATATTCCTATCTTAGAAAGTTCTGCTCATGTGCGAATAAGCACTGCTCCTATTAGATTTAACGACCATGGGAATGTTTTTTTTCCCATATGATACTGAAAAAGAGCACTGAAATGACTTCATAATATGATCTCAATAGACTGTTGTTTTCTATTAGCTGTTTTTTTTCCTAACCCATAACTGACACATCATTATGGTATTGAAAGCAAAATATTGTCCACACTGAACTTAGATATTGTTATGGACATAAATACTACAAAAAAAGTAATAAACTGCAAGAGGTATTTTGGAAGAATTGATTGTCAGAAGGAGTCTTCTATTATGGGAAACGATGGGAAACTTTTACGATAGAAAAATTCTTCTCATGTGTTCAAAGCTTTATGAGCATGCGAACTAGATGATTCTTTGTCTAGTAAGTTTTATTTGTTATATATAATTAGATTGAATAATAGATTATATATACGTAGCTTTTCAAAAGGCAACTATTCAATGATTCAAGTAACTGATTACTTTGTTAGAACTTTTCAGATATTGAACTTCTTCATGTATTTAACTTTATAAAATTTAGCTCTATTAAAACATCATCGTTTTATTTACTTTCGAAAAAGACACGAAACGATCTTCGTCGTATTTTTTTTTGTCATTGAAACAATGGGATATTCGTATGATCAATATGTGTATACATTTATTAATTAACCGAAGTAACCTATTCATTACTCGTTTATCAAAACGATTCGAAATCTCATTGCACTGTTTGTAAAAAAAATTCAAATAAAAATGTTTCGACTTGCTGATATTGTTATTATATATGAAGAGAGAACAGGAAAAAATGTTCTCGACTATCATTATGACAGCAGTGAAGATATAATGGTTCTCGGAAATCGTTATAACCCTCGAAGTCATTTCTCTAGAAATCATTAATAATCGATACAAACTAAAATTACCACATAAAATTTGATAAATTTCAGTAAGATGAATTCAATGATCCATGATGCATCGTAGCTGCGCCTTTTTAGTAATTTTTGTAGGGAAAAACGTTATACGAAACGAATTTTGAATAGGTCAACAGATATTTCGGTTGAGAAAAAAAAAAAACTTCCTGGTATCAGAAAGGATTTCTCTCTTTCGCTCTAATTAGCATTAGATAGTGTCTTCAAAGAGAAATCAATTAATATAAGAAAATTGCCATTTTATTCATGATTTGGTATAGATATTAACGAAAAGATCTTGCCGAAGGTATAGTATGATAATTATGAGTTTTTATTTTCATATCATACTTTTTCGTCAGGATTACAATATAAAGGAGCTTCATTTTTTTTGTCAAAAGATAGAGCCTTCATTCCTTTATCATTTGAAACTATTTTCAATCTTTTTTATAAATCTATTTGTCATCATTTACATTTTTAATCTCGCAGAACAAAAAAAATGACAAGTATCTGTCAGTTCAAAGGCTATCAAAATTATCAAGAAAAGTGTAATATTACAGCAGTCCATATGCAGTCTCTGAACGTTTAATGTATTCTCTACAAAATGCTAAAAAAGCTAGGTGAAATTTAAGATCCAATGATAACAAGGAGTCTTATTTTCACTCTATTAGCGCTCATAGCTTGAGAACCTACATACGAGAAAAAGATTATTTTTTCTTGCCTAATAGTGACGGTTATCTAGTGAATTAAAACAAAGAAGAAACATTATTCAAAACGGTCAAGAGAAACCAAAGTTATTACGAATATCTGTCGATACTTGAAACCGTACAATCAGAATGTAAATCGCTCATAATTATCGTTAGCTATGGATTCTTTGCTAGAATAACAATTTATATTGATCTTTTGACTAGTTTAATTGATGATGTTCTCATAATATCAGTGTAATTTTCACTTTAATTGTTGCTGTTCTTTTTTAATCATTGGAAACGTTTTTCTTTTTTGAATAATTAACTTAAAACAAGGAACAGGTTTTGCACAAATAATTAACATATTTCAGAAATGATATAAAATTATGTAATTCTTTTTTGTGTTATGACTAAATTGTCACATGATTTACCACCTGTTTTGGATTCTTTAATACAATAAACATAGATATGCATGTCTCGAGTGATTTAGTTGATAATATTTCCATAATTTCAGTGTAATTTTCATTTTGATCACGATTATTTTTTTAACATAGGAAGCATTTTTCTTTGAGTAACTAATCTAAAAAAAACCAGCTTTTGCACAGTTAATCAGCATATTTCAAAAATGAGATGATATTTTTATAATTTTTTTTTGTTATGAACCAATTGTTGCAGAAAACAGTTATAATATATGAAGCAATAGGAATTAAAAATTAGAACTGTATCAACTTTTTAAAATAAATCAAACGATTACTTTTTGCTGTTCTGTTCTTCATAATTGAAGAAATGCTTAAGGAGAACTATCAGATAATAAACTTGTGTCTTTTTATTCATAAATCATATTTATCTGATGTGCAGCAAAGAGTAGAAAAATTGGTTTTCTCTCTTTTTTGTGATTTCATCAATTCATATTTATAACAAAAAAGTCATAACAAAATTAATGTCTCAAAATCAAAATCTTACAAAAAAAAGATAGTTATATGTATCCATGCGTATACAGGATTTACTTTCCGCGGATTTACTTTCCATTGATTATTTTTGACTTTAATTGATTTTTTTTCACAGAAAAAAATGTTTTTTTCTGTCGAGCATTTACTTTCCGTTGATTAAAAAAAAATTTTATTCCAATTAGTCGTTTTCTTAATTGTGGATTTACTTTCCGTTGATTGTTTGGTAAATGAGT